CACAGTCGTTCTGCTGTTCAGCCATCTGGCTTAATTAGCATATTATGCTTTTATTATTATAGATTACTATAATTAAATTAAAAAAGATAAACCCAATTTTTAAAATGTGCAAAAGACTCAGTCACTTCCTGAAGGCTAATAAGAACATAAAAAGTGACTCAAATTAAAAATACACCTACCCTATGTAACCAGCATGTCCTCATAGGTATTTACCCAAAATAAATGAAAACACATAGACATGAAGAAATTTATACATAAATGTCACCAGTTTTATTTATTTGTAAACATTAGAAATGAAAGCAGCCCAAATATCTATTAACAGGTAAATGGATAAGCAAAATGTGGTATCTATCTACACTAATAAAAGATAAAGATGCTAATTGACTGCACCTTCACTATGCCCAAGCCACGCCCACCAGCCAATCAGAGCAACTACATGCAAATTAACCCAACCACAATGGCGGCCAGCAGCCACGGAACTGGAGCAAGCAGGAGGCCTGCCCTGGCCAGCTGTGGCCTCCGCAAAAGGCAACAAAGTTTCAATTATAGAAGCTAAATAAATCCCAGATACCTGCTTCCGGCCAGCCTCCACTGGGAGCTTGGGTGGCTGGGGGCCGTGGCCAGCCTGCAAACAGCAATCAGCCCCTCACTCAGGATGGCCACACCCTCATGGGGTGAAGGTCCCTGCTGGGGGGCTGTGGCCAGCCTGGAAACAGCCATCAGCCCCTCACCCGGGCTGGCCAGGCGCCCCAGCGGGGACCCCCACCCTGATCTGGGACACCCTTCAGGCCAAACCAGCCGGCTCCCACCCATGCACCAGGCCTCTATCCTATATAATAAAAGGGTAATATGCAAATTGACCCTAACAGCAAAGCAACTGGGAATCACTGGTCACTATGACACATACTGACCACCGGGGGAAGAGGCTCAATGCAGGAGCTGCCCCCTGGTGGTCAGTGTGCTCCCACAGGGGGAGCTCTGCTCAGCCACAAGCCAGGCTGACGGCTGCCAGTACAGCGATGGTGGTGGGAGTCTCTCCTGCCTCCTCAGCAGTGCTAAGGATGTCCGATTGCAGCTTAGGCCTGCTCCCTGCTGGCAAGTGGACATCCCCTGAGGGCTCCCGGGCTGCCAGAGGGATGTCTGACTGCCAGCTTAGGCCCAATTCCCTGGGGAGCGGGCCTAAGCCAGCAGGTGGTCATTCCCCGAGGGGTCCCAGAGTGCGAGAGGTCACAGGCCAGGCTGAGGGACCCTCCCAGGTGCACAAATTTTTGTGCACCGGGCCTCTAGTATATATATAAAAGCCTAAGCAACTGAACGACCGGTCGAACAGTCGCTACGACATGCACTGACTACCAGGGGACAGACACTCAATGCAGGAGCTGCCCTCGGTGGTCAGTGTGCTCTCACAGCCAACCTCCCATGGTCACGCCCCCTGGCTGGCTGGCCTGGGTGTGGGAGCCGTGGTGTTCCAGGGGGAGGATTGCAGGGAGAGTGAGAGCAAGCTCAGTGGACACCCTGCATTCTCATCCCACCTCCATCCCCATCATCCCCGTCCCCAGGTAGCCAGCGGGAGGTTGGTCACCCGCCACCCACCCCCAGTTCCTGGTCCCAGACCCGATCAGGTGATGAGGGCCTGCCGACCGCTGGTCGCTGTCTGTGGGATGATCGATCGGGGCCGAGCCCCCTCACCTGGCTCCCTCAGTGCCTGGGAGCTAGGCAGCGGACTCGTCCCCCACTGCTGGTCGCCATCTGCAGGGCAATCAGCCCCCACTCACACTTCTCTCTCATTAGGATGGCTATTATAAAACAAAAACATAAAATCACGAGTGCTGGTGAGGACAGAAGAAACGGACCCTTGTGCACTGCTGGTGGGAATGTAGAATGCCACGACTGCTGGAGAACACAGCAGGGTAGTTTCTAAAAAGAAATCAAACAAAATTACCATACGATCCAGCCATTCCACTTCTGGGTATATGCCCAAATAATGACATTGTGATTCATGCTACAACGTGATGAAACTTGAAGACATTATGCTAAGTGAAGAAAGCCAGATACAACAAAAAAATAAATATTGCATGACTCCACTTATGTGACGTCCCAGGGTAGTCAAAATCATAGACAGAAGGAGAAACGCAGTTACCAAGGGTTGGAGAGGGAGAGGAGATGGAGAGTTACTGTTTAATGAGTAGTTTCAGTTTGAGATGATGAAAAAGTTCTGGAAATGGATAGTGATGATTGTTTCACAACCATGTGAATGTACTTAATACCACTGAACTGTACACTTAAAAATGCTTAGAATGGTAAAAATTACGTTGTATATTTTTACCACAATAAAAAGTACTTGTGTGTTATTTATTTTATTATGGTGGCAGTATAGGAATGTGATTAAGAATACAAACTTGCCCTGGCCCGTGTAGCTCACTGATTAGAGCATCTGCCCAAGCACTGAAGGGTCACGGGTTCAATTCCTGGTCAAGGGCAAGTATCTGAGTTGCAGATTGAGTGAAGGAGGCAACCTAATTGTTGTTTCTCATATCAATGTTTCTCTTTCTCTTTTTCTTTCTCTCTCTCTTTCTTGCCCTCCCTCCCTTACACGCTCTCTAAAAACCAATGGGAAAATATCCTTGCGTGAGGATTAACAAGAAAAAAAAAAGAAAAAAGAATGCAAGCTTAAGAATTATGCTATAAAGCTCTACCACTTTATAGCTTTGTATTTTGTGCCTCTTAGATATTAACAGAAGCTTCATAGGATTATTGCAAGGATTAAGTAAATTAATATATGTAAAAGCATTTTAAACAGTGCATGTCATATAATAGTCACTTAAAATTACGGGTTTAAAATACATTTTTAATGAGGTTTAAATCAAACATCTGCAGAACCTCTAAAGGTCTTCTTCAAAATTCCAGACTTCAGTAAAACAGATTGAAAAATAGTGGTCTAACCCAGTGAATTTCAACTGGTGGGCCGCAAGAATTTTTTAAACCTGCAATACCTGACTAGTTAGGGGCACTGCCATCTTTTCCCTTAGATTGTTTAAAAAAAAAAAAAAAAAAAAAAAAAAAGAACAACAGCCAACACAACAATAGCCCTCCAGTGTGAATGAATCAAACTTATATCTTTTTTTCTTGGGGGGGGGGGGGGCAGGGTCAGGCAAAATATATACTTTTGGGGTGCCACAGAATTTTAGTAATTAGTTTATGTGTGCCATGAAAGGAAAAAGGTTGAAAATCGCTGATCTAATTCATATTTCTCATTTTATAGGTAAAGAAATTGAGATCCTTGATAAGTGATTTGCCTGCGGTCACATACCTGTTTCACTAATACTAATTTTCCTCAAATAAGAGTTTGGGATTAACAAAACTAATATGTTGACATTCAACTACTTGAGAACCAAGGCAAAGCCATGAGATTTTATACCGTGTGTCTAATTACCTATGAATAGCGTGACCGTCACCCACCATACCAACCTAATAATTACGCATGAGTGGGAACCAAAGGGAGCAAAACCAAAAGAACAGGCCTTTTTAATTATCTTCAAAGACAAAGGTTAAAAACACCTCTGTGGAAAAATATGTGTTAAAATATTTGTGAAAACAAATAACGTGGATCAAAAGTTTGAGACACACCCAATATGTGCCCACTACTCCCTCCTTTCAGCCAGTTACTTAATATATAACCTGAGTGAGAGTTTTGAATCTGAAAAATCAGATGCTTTTTCTACCAAATAGAGGAATTATCTACAAATAATTCTTTATTAAATTCAAATAGAACAGCAGTCCAAATAACACAAAATGTCTAATCCAAAAAAAATCATGTATTAAGCTTTGTTAGACATCTCTCTGTACTTGCTTGAATACCCTAGATCTGGTTTCTGGGAAATTCACAACACCAAAAGCAAAATAACAGAGACAATCTGCGCACGTCAGGCTCAACAGGAACCTAAGAGCTTTGGAGAGTCTCAGTTTAGCCCTACATCCCCCCCCCCCCCCCCATCTTTCTCAAGAGCAGCACCACCTCTACTTGGATGGTCCTCCCCCTCCAAATGCACATCAGCTGAAATCCTGCCCATTCTGAAAGGTCCCATTTAAATGCCGAAACTCCCATCAATCCCCCCCCCCCCCCCCCCCCCCAGCTCCCAATCTTGAATTACGCTCTTTCCTCTTCGCTCCCCTATTTCGCACCTCTACTCCAACATTTTATTCTATCATTCGCTGCATCGCAATGGCCTACGTTCCCTTCTTCTCCCACCTCCCCCCCAAGAAAATTCCCAAAGCGGCGGGCGAGGGAAGAAGGGAACTCACACTTGTTGACCCCCGGTGCCCAGCACGGCGCTTGGCACACGTGATCTCGTTTACCGCGCCCGGCGACCCTCGGGGTGGGCGGCAGGTGGTGCGCTCCGGGGTCCCGGCTGGAGCAGCGTCGCCGGCGCCGCACCGCTCGGCCAGTGACAGCGCTTCTGGAGCCGCCGGCGGCCCCGGCCGGCGCGGGCGAGCTGCTTCCACCACGGTCCGACCCAGGCAGCGGGCATGGCACAGGTCCCTGCTTGAAGGCCACGTCCCCACGGACCCCGTGCCACGCGTCCCATGACCCGACGGCCCCCACCCCTCGCCGGCGCCCTGGACCGTGGACGTCCCCTGCACCGCCGGCCAGCTCGCCCAGGCGCGCTGCAGACAGCAAGCCTCGCGGGGGGCTCAGGGAAGACCTCCCAGCCCCCCATCTCCCCCCGCCCGCCCTGCTCACGGAGAGTGAGAAATGCACGCACACGGCACCGGCTGGGACGCCGCACTCTCCCCGCCGCTATTCCCACGGAGCCGCGTCCTCGCGCTCATCAGCAGCGGGGTTTCTGCGGCTCCCGGCTCCCCGTGCGGGGTTACCCTAAGGCACCGGCTGCGTAAGAAACCCACCTTCCAAGCCGGCTTCACACGGAGGCATCCCAATGCTATTACACGGCCTGCTGCCCCCCCCTCCCCCCCACACACACCCTCCCCCGCCCCCAGGAACGGCAGTTTGGATTTCCGGCGGGAACGCACACAGACCCAGAGAGGGGAGCCGGGGCTGGAAGCCCGGAGCAATTACTTGGCTGCTTCATGAGAACCAAGGCGCCCCGCCTTTCCAGGTCTCTGCACCGAACTCCAACGCGAACGAGGAGGGGAGGTGGGAGGTGGGGAGGGGGCGCCGGGACCGAGGAAGCCCGGGCCGGGAGCGCGGCTTCTGCAGCGAGTGGGGGGCGTCGTCCCCGCCCCGCGGTCCGGGCCACCAGCTCGCGGCGCCGCTCTGAGAGCCAACCGCACCCTCTCCGGCGGCCCTGGACGCATTGTCTCCCTCCGCCGCGACCCCCGGGGGCGCGGGGTGCAGCCCAGGCCCGGCCTGCCGTCCCCCCGCCGGCCGTCCCCCGCGCCGGGCCAGGTCCACGCAGCCCCGGCCGCGACCCCGCCCCAGCTCGGCCGCCCGCACCGCGCCCGATGGCGGGGCCGGGCGCCGGGAAAATGGAGGCGGGAGAGCGGCCGTCCCTCCCAGCCCCGCGCCCGCCGCTTCCCCCGCCAGCCCGAGGGCGAGCTGGGCACTCACCGCGACAGCTGCTCGGGAGACCGGCCGCCCCGGCGACCGTAGCGGCCGGGCTGGGCAGCTCCTCAGCCGCCGCCGCCGCCGCCTCCTCCCAGGCGCGGCGCTCCCTCCCGAGAGACGCCGCGAGCGTCCGCAGCTCCCGCGCCGCGCGCTCCGGGACTGACTGACTGACTGGCGGACCGGGCGGCGGCCGCGAGGCGGGTCGGGAGCGCGCGGGGAGCGCGCGGCGGACGGGGCGGCCGTGTCCGGCCGAGACGCCGAAGGAGGGGCTGAGGGCCGGGCGGCCCACAGGCGGACCGACTCGCGCCGGCCGCTCGCCGCCCCCGCCCCCGCCTATCACTCACTTCCGGCGCCGGCGGCCGCGCCCCCCGCCCGCGCCCCGCGCCCGCGCCCGCGCTCCCCGGCCTCCGCCCGCGCCCGCGCCCCGCCCCGCCCGCTCACCTTCCCCTCGGGCGCCCGACCGCACCCAGCCGGCCGCCCTCCGCGCCCCGTGAGCCGCCGCGGGAGCCGGTGACTCGGAATGAATGGGGAGGAAGGGAAATCCCGGCGCCGCCCCGCCCCGCCCCCTGGAAGCGGGCCCGCGGCCCCCGTCCCGGGCCCTGGGGCGCCGGGGCCGGAGCGGATCCGGGACCGGCCTGCGTGCACCTCGGTGCCGAGGACCGGGCACCCCGGCCGCACTCCGGAGGCGGTTTAGGCGCTTAAAGGACCACTGTCCTCGCAACCTGAGGCTTTTTTTTTTTTTTTTTAAAGAAATCCTTTCCTTTTGGGCAACAACCCTCTACAGTTCGTGCACTATATTGGGAAGCTTTTAAAAATTGGACATGGCAGTTATCTTGAAGGCCTTTTTAACTCGGGCATTTGCTTACCTTGGGTTCTAATAGCTGTCACTCCCTTCTTGAAATTGCTTAGGAGGAAGGTGGTGGCACGTTTTCTTATTACCCAGCTCTAAGTTACCCAGATACTGCTTATTTCGAGGCAGGCTTGACTTCTAAGTTCTAATTTATATCTTGATTTTTGACCTCCTACAGTTGATCGCAGGAAGAAAAAAGAATTCAGTCCTTTTTAACTGGCTACGTGCAAAGCAAGTTTGTTGACAGCATTCACACAATTGACAGGTCAGCATTAACACAATTGACCTGGAATTCGTTGCAGCAAACACTGCTTTTTCACATCTTTCCATCTGCTTGCGAAGTGAAAGTAACTGTATCTTGAATTTTCACAAATAAAGAATTGACTGTACATTTCGGAAATCTTGGCTCCTTTTCTACGAACGAGGGTGTTCATTTCTCTGTCCTGGGTCCAAATTTTGATTTGGCTAATTATACTTCTTCTTTCTGCTATTCTTGAGGACTTCCAAGTGGTTTTGGGTTTTTTTTTTTCTTTTCTTTTTTTTTTCTCACAATCTGTTCCAAAGTGGTACACAGTCTGCTTCAAACTGGTATTAAGAACGACATAATACAATCATGAGCTGCATTTCACACTTGAGCTATCTACTTTAGGAACATAACTTGCACTTTTGTATTTTAAGTTGAGTAGGTGCTTTAATAGTCTTGTGCAGAATAATGTTATCTTATAAGTGAAGGTGGTGTTGCTGACCAATTCCCGTAGCCTTTGTTCCGTTCTTGTAGAATTCATCATTCATTATCTCTATAATTATTTCAGTAAGTTATGATCTTCCCCAATAAATGGACTACAACTATGTATTCATCTTTATATCTTCCATAATATCTGGCATAATACCTTCCACAATAAGTATCTTTAAATTAATAAATGAAAATATTTTGGTAAGTGATAATTTACACAAATCTGTCTACAGCCTTTCACCCCCTTTCCCTTACGACCAGGTTTGCTGAAATTCAAACCTAATAAATCCCTACTGTCATCGAATGCTATTAGTAGGTTGTGATACTACTGAACAAGGAAGATAATTCACTTCATTCGAAATCTCCTTTAAAAATAGACCATTGAGCCTGGCCTGCGTGGCTCACTGGTTGATAGTCAACCTGTGAACCAGGAGGTCACAGTTCTATCCTTCCCTCCAACCCCCTCCAGTGGGGGGTGTGCAGGAGGCAGCGGATCAATGAATGATTCTCTCTCATCATTGATGTTTCTCTCTCTCCTTCTCCCTTCCTCTCTGAAATCAATAAAAATATATTTTAAAAAGGAGACCATTGAATGCTTTTTAGACAGCTCTTAGCCAACTCTCTCTCCTTCCAGTGCTTAGTTTGGTCAAAGCGAATTAGAAAAGGAAACATAGTAACTGTCAGCCATGGAGAGAAGTAAGTTCTCATTAGTTCCTTCAAACCATGAAATCATCCATTCCACAAGGGTTTATTGAGCTCCAAGACCTAGAAATACAAAGACAAGAAAGACGTGCAAGGTGATTCCTGCTCTCAAAAAGCCCATGGTCTAGTGGGTAAAGGAGGGAAGAATGTGGATGGAGTCCATTCCATTGAAACGTGAAATGCTTTTTCTAACGGAACACCTCACAAGTTATGTTTTCCACAGACTACACTTTGGGAAATGCTGACCTAAGCCACATTTTTGGTTTATGGCAGAGAAAACGATAGCCCCTAGAGATGAAGTGACTTGCCGAAAGTCAGTGGAAGATAGTGGAGTAGGATCCCTATCTTCTGACCCCGCTCACATGCTCTTTCCACTACATAATGCTTTATGAGCTACAAACTCATTCTAGCTCCATCAGCCAATCACAGGGAGAAAAATACTATAAAAGAATTATGGGATATATTCTTTTAAATGAGGTTTCAAATCAATAACTTTTGCAGCTATGCTACTTTTCAATGATTACTCCTTTACATAAAGTGAAAAGATTTGTACATTGGAAAAGTTAGGGCCAGTTATTACCTTAGTATGATCTTTTGATAATCGGGCAGGAGCCTTGTAGAATTAAATTACCTAAGTGACTAGGATATCCATCTAGACACCCTAGCCCCGAGGTAGCTTTAAGTAAAACAAGCTTTCAGGAATTAAAACTCTTCCCAGAAATTTTCGTGTCAATTTCCCCCTACCCCTTCATATTGAAGGAGAGGACTATGAAAGTCCACACCAGGTTTTGATTTCATCTCTGGCACGATTCCCCTGATTCTGGATGGGAAGGTTTCATATCCTAAATTCATAGTTCTATTCCCCAAAGGATACGTTTTTAGTACTTCCTATTCTTAGAAAAATGAGACAAATTGTTTGTTCCCAAGGGACTTCTTTGGACTACACTACAGCTTTCATTTTAAGAGTAGTTTCTATGCACATTACCTTTGAAACTAGTTATCACTGTCATAATTTATGACTCAGTAATTTTGTTTCATTTCTAACTGCTGGATTCACTTTCAGTACACAGAACAAGGACCATCGCATGTAATATAAATATGTTGAGTGAATGAATAATTATTAACTTGAAATATCAGTTGTCATAAGTATTGGCAAGAACACTATTTATTAATCAATTTATCAAAACTATTTTGCTAGTGCCCACTGTGTCCCCAGCTCTGTCGGATCACTTAATGAGTATGAGAGAATACTGGAAATAGTCTCTAATGATTAAATATGACCCCACCCTATTGACAATGAGGGAAAGAAACACACTCTCGTATCCTGCAGGTGGGGATATAAATCATCACAACCTTTTTCTGGAGGGAGTTTAGCTGTCGACATTAAAATAACTTAAAATGTGCATCTCATGATCAAGCAATTTCTCTTCTATGAATTTATTCCAAGGAGTAAGAACAAAACGTTAGCTAGGATATTGTGGGATGATGGCAAATAATTGGAAATTCCCTCAATATCCAGCAATGAGACTAAGAAAATGATGATTTCTGGAAAAAAAAATTTGATTTGAAAATATGTTCACAATATATTAACCAATAAAAAAATTACAAACATTATGCACAAGATGAACTCATGAAAAAACATTACATAAGAAAATCTAGAAAGAAATACAAGATCCGACCGGTTTGGCTCATTGGATAGAGTGTCTGCCTGTGGACTGAAAGGTTCCAGGTTCAATTCCAGTCAAGGGCATGTACCTTGGTTGTGGGCACATCCCCAGTAGGGGGTGTGCAGGAGGCAGCTAATCGATGTTTCTCTCTCATTGATGTTTCTAACTCTCTATCCCTCTCCCTTCCTCTCTGTAAAAATATATATTTAAAAAAAAAAACAAATACAACAAGAATACAAAAATGTTTATGGCAGAGTGGTTGGTTATAGTACTTTCTTTAATTTTTTAATTTTTAAATGATGATTTTGTATTCTTTAACTGGCAATTAAAATTAATGAATTATATCAATATTTATGAAGTTAAATAAACCAGATCTCTAAAACAAAATGTTGAGGAAAGCAATGCACAAAGCATATATTATTTAATAAAAAAAAAGTTAATTTTAATTGAAAAGGGGATCTCTGCATTCAAGAAACTGTTGATGAGAGAAGAACATGAAATAGCCAGAGGACAACTAAATACTCAACTCTGAAACAGACTGCCAGTACAATAGGAGTTAAGAGAAGAGAGAAATTGACTAGGTTTGGAACAAGTTAAGATGCCATCATAAAAGAAGTGAGACGTAGCTGGCACTGAGCATCTGAATGCCATGGGGAGAAACAGAGTCAGGGGCAGTAACATAAGGTGAGGCGAGGGCCTGGCATAGCCCATTTTACACATATCTCACTCCTTCCACTTGAACTTGAACAATTGCAGAACACTTGGTCTTTGACTATAAAAGCATTTCTGTTTCTTTCATAGAAGTGAGATTTACAAAGCCCTGTGTACTATAAATATGAAGTATTACAGGTCCTTTGTAATATATTTTTTAAATTATAGTAGATGCTTTTTGCAAATAAGCCATTTGGGGAGCACTTTTTTCCTTCTAAATCTGTAGAACTGGGTATTTCCAGATATTGACTTAGAACAAACACCAACTCTTATGCAACAGTAGTAATTACAACCTGCACCCTTGTGAGTGTTCTGACGTTCACGGTCAGACCACAAAGGAATTTAACCAATCAGGAATCAGCAATTCTCTGATTACATACATATTATGGAGTGTTGTTTTTGAGCTCAAGAACTAAATTACTAATAGTAGTATTAGCTATACATATGAAGTGAAAGAGTGAATGATGTGTGTTCAGTGCCAAATAATAAATTAAAAGGGTTATGCCCATCTCAAAAATGTCTGTAATATAGGAAAGAACAGGACAGAAATGAACTGCCACCAAGTATTCCTCCAGTGTGGGGCATGACCAGGTCTGGGGGATGTTGTAGCAAATGTGTCAAGCAGAAAGTAGCAGGTTATTTTTAGTAAAAAATGGGGGAAATGGTTTTACTAGAGCTAAAGAGGTCTGTTGAGGGACAGTGAGATGGGAAAAAGATAGATTATGAAAGCCCTTGGTGACCAAGTAGTAGGCGTGAGAATCAGTGCAGTAGATATAAATGGTCAAGTCCATTTTTCAAGGTACCAGCCATTTTCCCAGTTCTGAGCCTTTGCAATTACCATTCTCTCTGTCTGGTCTGTTCCTATTCATTACAGTTCAACTGTATCCACCTTTATCCCCAATTCTTCTGGATAAAATTATTTACTGTACCTTTGTGCTCCCATGAAATTTTGCACATCGGTATTATAATTTTTTGTGCATGTGTCTGACTCCTCCATGCATGATACCTTGTACATAGAAAAGTTCAGCAGTATTTGTCAAATTAAAGGATGATGAGAAACAAGATTAAGAAAACATCTGGCAACATTGTGAAAAATAAGTTGGAGTAAGGAAAGTAACTGGAAGGCTGGAATGAAGTGATGAGAAATGAGAAAGGAGGGAAATTAAAATATTTGGAAAAACTGACTATATAGGTAGCAGATGGAACAAAGGCATGAAGAAGAAGAGAAATCCAAATAACTCCAGGGTTTCAAGGCTGAAAGAATGCTGAAAGCAAAAGACTGCTATCATTGCAAAATCAACAGACAGACTGTGCAAAATTCCAGTGAATGTGGTGCATTAAGGCAGTCTTTCAGACAGTTTGTGTCTCAGATTTTTATTGAATAAACTAGAGGCCCGGTGCATGAAAATTCGTGCACTGGGTGGTGGTGGTCCCTCAGCCTACCCTGCGCCCTGTCACAGTCCAGGAGCCCTCAGGGGATGTCCTACTGATGGCTTAGGCCCGCCTAAGCCCCAATCTGGCCTCCCTTTGCGGGAGGTGACCCGGCCAATCAGGGGAAGTCGCCACCCCATCACCCTGTTGCCGCCG